ATGGAGTTTTAACCAATAATATCTCACTGCCACATTTTTATTAATCAATGTGCTCTTTGAACAATGTCACCCAAGCCACTTGCTAAAAGATCATTTTATGTTGTAGAATCAAATTTAATTTAAGTTATCCATGGCTTCTACTTCTCTAAGCACTCAGTGGACACGGAAACTAACTGCTCTTTGATGGCAAAAATCAACTAATCATGTTTTTCAATCAAATTTTTATTTCATCAATTTCATGAGTTTGAGGGAATAGATCTACAGTGGCAAAAAAAAAAATAACAATAATTATATCTTAATGAAAATTCAAATTATGTATAAAAAATGGTGAAAGAATAATCTTTTTTTTTTTTCTATGCAGACCATTAAGTCTTTAAAAATATGTTATCATTCCAAGGAAAAATTTATACACATAAATTACATCTGAACATGATGAAAAAATATATATATACTTTAAAAAAACGACGAGTCTACAGAATCGACTAAACTTGTACTCTAATATCATTTTGTAACGCCTCGAGATCTTTTTCATTATTATTATTATTTTTAATAAAAATGAAGCTCGAGGTGCTACCAAAACTTTTCTCAATCTAGTTTAAGCGGAAATATATCGAAAATACTCGATTTCAAATTATTAATTTAAAATTTAACATAACACGTCAAATGCTCGAATTGTAAAACATATTAAACAACATGCATAAAAATTTACTTAAAGTTATTCTTCAAATAAAAATGGACAATTATTCTTTTCTAGGAAATTTACGTGACGACCTCATAATCATCGTTCGATCAATCTTTCACACGTCCACACGACCCGTTCTCATCTGAAAATATTGTAAGAGTGAGTATTTTTTTGAAAACACTCAGTAAGAATACGTACACATTCTTATTCACATGATATTAATATAAAACTGACATAACATACCAACATTTCTTAGATTTAGAACTCGAGGAATTTCTTAAGAATCTCCATATCCCGTAGGATTTAACATCTTTTCTTTGACCTGACGGTCTATCCCGAAATATTTAACATATAATTCGACCCGAAGGCCTTATAGTATCTCATGCCAGAATTTACATACATATCAAAAAATAAGAATTTACCACTTGCACCATGTATTCTTACTTCAATTGTCACCAAAATTCTAAAATTTTGACTTGAATTGATGGTATAAAAACAAGGAAACAGATTTTTGTATGAAAATGAACTTATACATTTCTTGAGACAAAACACGTTCACCTTAAAACCTATATTTATAATTTTGAAATGTAACTCCCAATCCAATCAAAGGACTTCAGTTTTAAAATAATTCAATTAAAACGTTTTTGGAGATAAATTAAAATTTTTATGAGTTTAGTAAACTTAATTGTCATTATAAACATCATTAGTTATATTAAATTTTAATATGACCTTTAATTTTCCAAGGTAACTATATTCTATTCCCTTTTTTTTTTGAAATATTATAAAATATACTTTATTTTTTATTAAAAAAATGGGGACGTTACAACTATCGACCCGCAAACAGGAACCTCACAACAGGCTCCCCGTAGAGGAAGAGGCCGGGGTGCGGTTCAGGACCTAAGAATAGGCCTAATAAGAACCCCCCCGATTATTGCACGTACCACCGCTCCTATGGTCATGACATGTTCGAGTGTCGGGAATACGTATACCGCAACCGACGAAAAATCCTCAAGACGGGAGGAATGAGTCGCCACAGGTGAACAGGCCCCCGCCTAGGGACGTAGGCGTGAGGAGGCTGCTCCCCGCCAGCGAGATGTATCCCCCACTGAAGGGAACATGGGGCGGAGAGACCT